TAAGAAAAAAAAAAGAAAGTAAAAAATTTAAATTGAAGTTCAACAACAGTGTAACAGTGAGCATAATAGTGAGCCATCTGAGCACTCAGGATCCAAGCCCTAATGAAGCAATCAATGATTACCACAAGCTCTCACTAAATTGCAGAATGAGGTCATGTGGATGCTCTGATGGAAAGTGTGCATATCTGGAATATGATCTAGATCCCTTTTGTTATTTGGTTGTTTTGGGGTTGTTTTTTCTGGGCTGAGAATACCAAATATTCTCTCAGAAATTCACTGCCCCTCTGTCATCTCCATTTCATGGAGCCAGCAACCATCTATCACCCTTCTCCCCCACCTCTGTCAAATCTGTTATGACCAGGCTCTCGCATCCCACTCACAGAGCCAGCAAGATCTGCTGACTGCTTTACTTGACAGATAGACTCAATTTACACTATTTATTCTTTTAATATTCACTATCATCTTTGGCTTAAGACAGCAGTGTCTCTGAACATAACCTCACAGCACTGCAGGGTTCTGAAATAGTACAGAGGAACAATAAAAAAAGACTGAGCAATTTTCTAGGTTTCCTTTACACTGTTAATGTCTGGGAAGGATGAGGCATGAGGGGAGATCAGAAATTGCACCTCTGACTCAAAACTCATTCCATGGCACCCTGAAACCACTGTGACTATTTGGTACCAGGATAACTGCTTCCCAGTGAGAAACTGATATATTTCCATCTTAACCTGTCTGACAGATATGCGCACATGAATAGGGTAGAGGTACAGGAGCAATGGAAACACAGAGGAATGGGAAACAGCAAGATGTACTAAGGAAATCAAACATAATTCCATCCTCTGTGTAACTGGATTCCTACCACTTAAAAGAACAAAAAAAAAAAAAAAAAAAAAAAAAAAAAAAAAAAAAAAACACAACACATGTAAGCCAAAACTAAGCCCTCCCAATTTTCCTAAACAGTGAAAATAGCAATGAGGTCGTCTTTCCCAATATCAACAACACTGGAGTTTCTGAAAAGCAACCTGGCAAGTAATCCCTCCCTTCATCCCCACAGGGTATTATTATTCTTCCTTGAAACAGCAGAAGATAGCAGAATGCACCTTTATCAGGCTGGGAAACTTCATGGTCTTTACAAAACCCTTGCTTGTTTCATTTTTATGAAAAAAATCATTGTGGTAATTGAAGCCAAACTAGTTTATTTTACAATGGCTCAGGGAAGGGAAAAAGAACATAGCACCAATCACTGTATTATCATTGGTACAACTCCAATCAAGTTCCCTTCACTGGTGTTTGCTTCTCCCACCACCTGTAACTTTCATTTACAATCTTTGAACCACCCTGTGCAAATCCAGACTCCATGTTTAGGTCACAAGTGGTAATGCAATCTGGTCAAAAGCTGAAGTCTCATGATGGTGTTGCCTGCCTCAGACAGACTCCTTTGCACTTCTACTAACTTTCCTGTTTCCCCTTTCCTCAATTCAGAACAGAGCAGCTCACAGCCAATCTCACTAACCAGCAGAGTGGGAGGTTTTGGAAGGCTGTGCGTGGCACTGTGCAAACACTGACTAGTATATCCACGGCCTGCCTGGAAAGAGAAAGCATTGCTGAAGGAAATTAACTCACAGTCTGCCTGGCTGCCTAAGTGCCGGCTGCCCAGGGTATGCTCCTCTGCATGAATTGTATTCTGTCCTTTCTTTTTTTCTACTAACACCGATTACAATTCCTTTCCAACTTTTCTTCACTCTTCCTCCAAATCAAAGTCATCTCATAATAACCTCAGCAAATGATACCACCACACTGAAGCTATTTTTTATTCAGACAAAGCTATTTGCCCATTTCATTCCAAGTAGTTTCACAGTAATGGAAACGCCATTCAGAGATGAATAACTTAATCCTTTCTCTTAACAGCCTTCCCTATCTCTTTCATTTGATTTGCTGTCTTTGCTGGCTCAGTATCTGTTTAACTGATATTTCTTGGAGCAAAGACTTTATTTTCTAAAGTATCTCTACAGTGGTTAGGCAAACTTAAGAATACACTTTTATAACTCCTTTCATGTCAAGAGGAGTGCTGTGGACAAGATATTAATTTAAGTCATTACAGCTTGCCAACAAAGATCAGTTAATTTTGACCTTTCAGGTAATTACCACTTTTTAATATTTATAATGTAAAATATAGAGAGAAATAAGTGGAATTAACAGCACAGGGCAACTGATGCTTTTCCTAAGCTCTACAGCAATGATTATAGAGGACAAGGATGAGATTAGTTTATTTGAAGAAAGATTGTCCAATTTTATTGTTTAAAATATAATCAGTATATTGCAAATTACTGGACAGCCTCATCTTAACCACATTAAGCTTTTATAAAGAGACACTACTATGTTGGCAGATAGTTTCCCTGAAAGAGGACTGACTGGTGTGATACTTTTACCAGTTGCATGCATGTCTGTCTTTTGCACACTGTAGAATTTAGAAATCCAAGGCAAGGAGAGATCAGCTTCACTTGGTATTAGACTTCTAACATAACAGTTAATGCAAGTAGTCAAGTAACAATCAGCAGCTTGTTCCAGGAACTCCAAAGAGAACAGTTCATTTTGTCTTACCTTCCCATGCAAACAGAGCAACAATTAACCACCAGCCTATGTGTAATTTGGAATGTCAGAAATAAACATATGCAATCTTGGAATGTCAGAAATATACATATGCAATCTTGGAAACAACTTGCCAAACTTTAAAAGCTTCCCTATTGTCATTCTTTAGCTGAAGAAAGCATATAGCAACTATGATCCTTCTCTCATTTTTTCAATCTTAAGGGTCCTCGCTTCTTTTTCACCTATTATTCTAATCCCTCCTCAACATTACCAGATTTAGCAGTCATGAATACATTCTCACATCAACACTTTTTTTTTCTTTGGCTTTTTCCTCACTTCTTTTAAACATTTCTGTCATGTGTTTGTTTTTATTACAGAGAAGCAGATTCCACTAACACGTTTGTACAGCTATTACTGCCAGAGTACATTAAGTGCTCTAAAACCAGTCACATATAAGACTAATGCCAGACAATCTTATCTTTTTGTTAGAGTATAACGCTTGCAGATATGACAGAAAGCAAAACACTACTTAAACACTGGCCTGATAATTTTCCAGAAAGCTTCAACTCTGAAAGGGGTTTTTCTTGCTCTCATTCTCCTTCTCAGATGATTTCCTTAGTTTGTTTTATCCCTTTACTGACTATGAGCCAATAACATTCAGCCAGAGACTGGCAGAGGGGGTCTACTTCATTCAGTGTCTGTGTTTTAACCCTCAGCTTTTCACCACCAGGGCCTCTGCTTCAAAAGTCTATCCAGCTGGCTTATGGCAGGATGTCTATACTACAGCTCTCAGTTGCCTCAACCTGATACACGAGCACCTGTCCCCTGCTATTGCAGGTCTTTATGCGCTGCTGTACCCAGTAGAAATAGAGGATTAGCACTACTTCTGGTGACTTTTGGATCAGTTTTATCAGGCTAACCATCTGGGTCATTTCAGCTCTCTTTCCAAACCTGTAATAATTACCACTTTTGAATCAGTCATTGCCAGACAGCTACACTAAGCTAGAGCTCTATGACTGGCTCATAATTAATTCTCTTTAAAATAATTGTCATTTCTGAGTAAATAACAACCAAGATCAGATGGATGAAAATAATTTTCCCTTCCACCCCCAATTACCAGTATAAAAAAATACTGGATGTATCCTTGGCACATCTTGCTCAAAACAAATAAAGCTGGAACACATTATACCATCTATACCAAACAGCATTTGTTTATACAGAGTGAAGCTTTCTGAACTCAGAACTGTGTCTTTCTCTTGAGAAAAAGCTACTTCCAGCACATCAATTATCACAGGGTAATTTAATTTATGTTCAGCCAAGTTAACATACGGTCTTCTTACAAAAAGGAGAAGAGCCAGAAGGAAAGGCATTCTCAAGGTGATGCAGGCTTGATCATGCAAAGGCTGCAGGCAGATACTGAGACATCTTCAGTTCACGTCTTCCAGGATGTTCCTATTTCAAAAAAGAAAGGAATAAACCAAGAATACTCATCAGCCTCTAAAGCAGCAGCTCATCCCTGACAACAGTCACTTTAAGGTCACATAAAGTTTTATACTGAAGTTTAGCAGCAAGCACTTTCCCCTTAGCTCCTAAAAACACCAGTGTGCATCACCTCTCGCAGGGATTGCTGGGCCTGGGGTAGCAGGAGAGTGGCTCTGCAGCACCCTGGCTGCAGGGGCACCTTGCTGCTGCCTGGCTCCCGACACCTGTATTATTCCCCTGGTGTTGAATTAACTTAAAGCAGAGCAAGGATTTCAGTCCCCATTCTCCTTCCCAAATCAAACAATCGTATAATAAAAAAAGCTTTTGATCAGTTAAAAAACTACACAGATCTATGTGGTTTGATGCAGACCCTCTCCTTTTCACCCCGTCACGGGGAGGCAGCTCCCCGCTTCATCTCGGGGTCCGCCGAGCGAGAGCTGCTGGCGAGGCCTCAGCACAAGCTCTTCTGCCCGCTTTTCCTGAATCACACTGCCACCTAGCAGCGGCACAGCGTTATCTGCAGCACGACAGCAGAGCCTCCAAAAGATGGCTGGCGTTCTTTTAAACTCATCCAAACACGAGCACCCTGCCCCTCAGGGGTCAGGCCCAGGATGGGCAGAGAAGGGCGGAAGGCGAGGATAACATGGGGCTGGCGGCTGGCGGCTCTGCGCTTTTCGGGCCTAGCCACAGCCCTGCCTCTCACCCGCCGGCAAACCGGCCACGGCTGAAGCACCGCTGCCGGTCAGGAGGTCGATACCAACCAACCCTGTTTCCCTTCGGCGTTCGCCCCGCACAGCGCCCCTGCCAGCTCACCTCTGCCCCTGCACCCGCCTCAGGACGCATGTTTCCTCGGGGCGGGATATGTTCTTTCACCTCAGTGCCTAGGGCTGGCCACCGGGGAAGGAAAATAACGGATGGAAAAAAAAAAAAAGGGTGAACAATTTTAATTCTTTTTCCACAAATATAAATGGTGGTGTCAGGCTTTTTTCATCGCAACCCAGTTAGCATGCCCTGCTGTAACAGCAAAGGTGTAGATGAGGCTCTTAGTGATATGGTTTAGCAGTGGTCTTGGCAGTCCTGGGGTAATGGTTGGACTTGGTGAGCTTAAAGACCTTTTCCAACCTAGCTGATTCTATGATTCTGTAATTTGGTGGCAAGTCCTCTCCGGGACAAATCACACTAATCCAAAATTCCTCTGATTCCTTTCTTGGTGTCCTTGTACAGCTCACAATGTAACACCCTTTGCATCAATATGCTTTTCACCACCTCTCCTATACACCAGACAGCCACTTGCAGCAAGACTGTGTCAGGGGTACACATCGGAGCAACACCCTTCTGCAGCGAGGGAGCGGGGTGTTCACATCCCGTCTGTTTGCAGTAGGTACAGCTGGGATGGTGCTAAGCCATAAACCTGTTGGAGAATGAAGGAAAAAGCAGGAGCTCAGCAGGTAGAGAGGAGACATGATTTAAATGGTATGTCAAGATGAAATTATTATTGGATACCTTTAACCATTCTTTGTGGTCATCTTTGTGTATGAGCACACAGGCAAAAGAGACAGATTCACAAGCATAATTTTTTTAAATTTCTTTGAGGTATGATTAGGAATATTGTATTCATGCAATTCTAAGGCAAAAAGTTTCTGGAGCTTTGCTATGCAAATTACTCATCTCTATCTAATATCTTGCAGGGGTTTTTCCCCCACATTTTGCACTATAAGTTTTTAATAGGAAGTAGGGACGTTTGGGGAGATCAGTACCAAATTTGCTATTGTCAAGGCAACTTGAGTATATAATTTTATCCTGCTAAAAGTGCTATGAGCCTTTTGTACCAAACAGTGATTTTCATAAGTAATAGTGCCCTCTGTCATTACAACAAAATTATTAGCTAACTGAACAGGGTGTAATATGTTGAATCAACCGTATTTCGTCACGATGCATACTGGAATTATTTGAAGGTTTTCAGTGGGAATGCCATCTCAGTAATTTACCTCTACAGCACTTGAAAAGAAGCAAAGAATAAAGAAAAAACATGTAGTTACTTTTATCAATAGCAACCTCAGTCAGCAAGGCATTTATGGATCCTAAAACAAAGAAATGAGAATGCATTCACCAGCACATATCACAGCTGTCTGCTGAGACTGAAGTGAACAAATTCTTTTGTGAGCCTGTGCAAACCTGAAGTCAAAAGCCCCTCTCACTGATTTAGTGCACAGCACTGTACATTGACATTAGCTATTGTTTGCTCAATAAACTGCCTTGCAATAACACATTTTTACAGAGGCCTTGCATAAGTGAACATTTTGATGAGTGATACAGTGGTGCTTACAGTGGTGCAATCCAAGATAGATTGCAAATATTTATTTCAGTGTCTCCCAAGAAATGCATTGGAAAAAGAACCTCTCTTCAAAATTGCACAGTGGCTTCATTGACCTTTCTCTAATATATTTCTAGAAAGTGTGGCACTCAGCTAAAAATAAAATACCTTCAAATTACAGTTCTGGTTTTGTCCCAAAACTGTAGGTAAAGTCATCTCTTCCAACTGATGAGAAGGTTATTTCATATCACACACCTATTGCAGGTAATACTTTGGGGTTATCTCTTTATGATGCTACCTCAAATTTTGATACCACTTCAGAGTTCTTTAAATATATGGCCCAGAAAACCAGAGTAAAATATGTTAATAAGGTTGAGACAATTGCAAGCCCATATGCAAATGGATGGATATATGCAGTTATGCCAAAGATGGTGTTAAAAGAAAGATAACTGTGAGGCTAAACACATCTACAAATCTAAAAAGTAGCAGCGCTGATAAACAAACCTCACTGGTCCAAAACTACATCAATAGCTATAGCATTGCTTGAGGTTAAATTAATGCTTGCTGGATGTAACCATTCTGCAGCCCTTACACGGGAGTTTCTTTAATTATCTGAGGGAGATGAGCACGTTTTACATATCACCTTGAAACACAAACTTACAGCAGACTTGGCTGCCACAGCAAGGATGGCTTCCCCAGACCTTGGCTGCAGCACCTGCTGGTTCAGTAACTGAACCAGCTGTAATCTTTTTCTGTCAATACTGCCTAGACAAAGGTGATGCCCTTTCAAGCAAAATGCCAAAGTCTGATCCACTTACCTCACTCCCATCTCAAGTTCAATAAGCATTGCCTGCTTCTCCAAAGTATGTAACTATTTGGGATGCCAAAGTCATACGATTTTGAAAGTTATTTCTTGTGACAGCCCTTGCCTTTCTTCCCCAGCCGTAATACACAAGGCACATCTACACGATACAAAACAGTGTGATGCATGCATCCCTGAACCAGCCCCAGCTTCAGAAGCAATGCAGTAATGACCTCACAGCATGCTCACAGACTAACTAGCTTTGTCGTGATGGATAATCAGCACAGAAACAGCCACCATAATGTGGGTACAACACTTCCAGAAATCGGGCAGGCACCTTTGCATAGACAGGTAGACATCAGTTTACTTAGAACCTAGTTCAAGTCTTTCCAGATCCAGTCTGGCTGCAAAGAGGAGTCGTGCAGACAGGAGACATGCATCTGTGGTAAATGCTTCTCAGGTAAATAGAAGACTCATAACTTCCTATTCTTACCTCTTTTTGGGAGGGTTAGTAAAAGCATTGAATATTTTTAATCTTGGTATGCAAACTTTAATAATTACAGGAGGTTGTCTCTCTACAACCAACTTGGCAATTGCACAGTTCCTCGTTGCACAGTGTGGATTTATTCACATTATTATTTTCACAAAATAGGGAGAATTCCCTTCATGTTAAATCATAACAAGCTTTCTTAGGGAGTTTGGGGGATTTTTTTCCTTATCTGGGTCTTCATATACCTGCAAATCCCAACAGATATCCTTCTAAGTAACATCCAGATTTATTAGCATGTAACAATTTATGCTTCATAAACATTACTTTTCAATTTAACAATGTTAAATGTGAATCAGAGTGATTTTCTTGTCTTTTCTAGCATTACCTGAATTATTCTGATACCAGTTCCCAGTACCCTGTTATACTGGATACAATTGGCTGTAGCAACTTCATGTCTAAACCTCTATTCTTCCACCAATTTACTGCATTCGGTCTCAGCAAACTCTATGCCTGTTGTTAGAGATCACTGCATCTGAAGAATAGGTAACATATGGCAAGAAAAAAAACACCCAAACAATTACTAAGCATTATCACTTATTTAGATGCAACATTCTCTGATGAGTTTATCATCTCAAGGAAATAAACACTATATAGAAATTATAGAAATCATTGAATAGTTTGGGGTGGAAGGGCTCTTCAAAGGTCATTGAGTCCAACTCCCTGCAATGAGCAATCTTCAACTCTGAGGTTGCTCAGAAGCTCATCCAGCCTGGCCTTCACAGCAAGTATGTCACCTGTGGTCTTCTTTCCCTTCTCTGCAAAGGGAAAAAAAAAAAATATATATATATATGTATGTATGTGTGTGTGTGTATACATATATATCTGCCTACATTATTGCTGGCAACATTTTTTCACTGTAGCACCAAACATGTGGTATATTTTATTTCATCTGTATTTTTGGCTTGTGTGAAAGTCTAAAGAATCTTTTCAATGCCACAATTAGCCTTAACCTGATATAATTCTGGCCTTTTGATTAAATTTTCCAATCCCCAAATAACCTTTCTATACCATTCACCATGCTGTCCTTGGCAGGGGCAGGCAACCTGTACAGATACATGGCTGCCACCTGCTGAACATGCAAGGAGTGATACTTACATTCAGCATTGTTTATAGTAAAAAAATAAGTTCCTTTACTCATACTTTTAAATACTCAACTTACGTTTCCCTAATAATTTCATGTGGTTCCTCAGCTATCACCTTAACAATCACAGGACACCTTTTGTGTCAGGATTTTTTGGGGTTTGGGGTTTGGGGTTTTTTTTTGGTCAGATAGGTATCTAGCTTTGAAACTTATTCCAGTGGCCTTTTGTTAACTCCTTGCAACCCCTTTTTTTCTCTAAGGCTCACGTTCCCCTTACAAATCATGTCTGCAACTGGAAAAAATAATTTGCCTACCTTGGGGGAGGCAAAAGTCACTCGCTCTTCAAAACATTTCTTCTTTCTTTCTTTTTACATAACAAACAGGACTTTGGAGCCTTTGTAATTCACTGCTGCTAAACCCACTGCTAAATTTGACTGTTAACAGTTGGGAAAACTAAATGGCTTAAAGCCAGCTGTTGTTAAAATAAAGCCATCCAACAATCTTCTTATTTTGTAGATATAAGTACTTACAACTCCTCCTGTTGTTGTTCCCCACCAGATTCTGGTGAATCTCAACACAGCAGAAATTTTAGCTGCGCCATTTTCACATCCTTGAACTTTCCTTGTTCTCTTCATGTTCCAGTGTCACTTAGTGCTCAGTCAGTGGGGATCAGCTTCTCTGGTGATAGTAGAGAAACAATCTTTCAGTGTAGGGGAGGGCACTATTGGAAATAATGAGAAAAAAAAGTGTATGATCATATGAAAATATGAAATTAATTAGTAGGTATCTGAAATAATTAACTTGAAGGCAGCATTATCAGCACGGAAAGTAATTCATATTACCTAAAATAAGCACTTAGTTTAGCTGATCTAATGTCTTTCTGTAGTCAGAAAATCTGAAAGAAAGTCCTTCCTTGTGCAATTCAGAGCATTTAAGTGTGACACACTATAAATCACCCACCAAGTTAGCCTTTTTCTGCACAATGAAGGCAGAGAACAGTGTTAATTTAACTGTCAGCAGCTGGTAGCACTGAGACATCCTTTGCTTCCACTGCAAGGATACTGAAGAGGAGGTGGATTATGGAACTTAATGTAACAGGATTCATAGATTAAAGATGCTTGAGGTGATACTACTGGTTGTTTAAAAGAATTGTTCATGGATATGTCCGTTAAAGTATAGACTGCTTTACATTACCAGTGGCAATGCGCCATTAATGGCACATATAGGGAGCAATCCCTACTATGACTGTGTTTTCATATTATGTGGGAGAACCCAAATGCATTTGGATGGTCTCTACTGATTTTGCAAGCACTGAAAGGTTCAGAATGACTCTAGGTGTAGCCCAGGTAGGTCCAGGGACCACAGAGTAGCAGCGACATTTAGGTACAGTGAATAATTGTTGACTTGTTTAGCCACACACCAACTGAGTACTGCTGCTCCCTGTCATCTCTGTAAGGTCTGAGAGCTGGATTTCATAACAAATACAGATATTTAATATTTTATCTCACTGTCTGTGTTACTGCAAAATTTGTCAGCAGCCACTGTTCTAAGCTTTTGTTCTTATTCTTCTAGACTTGCAGCATGTTGGTCCTTTATTTAGGTATGATTTACTTGTGTAAAGCGTTCGAGACTGTCCCACACAACATCCTTGTCTCTAAATTGAAGAGACATCAATTTGATGGATGGACCACTCAGTGGATAAAGAACTGGCTGGATGGCCGCACGCAAAGAGTTGTGGTCAATGGCTCAATGTTCAGCTGGAGACCAGTAATGAGTTGTGTCCCTCAGGGATCAGTGTTGGGACCGGTCTTGTTTAATGTCTTCATCACTGACATGGACAGTGGGATTGAGTGTGCCCTCAGCAAGTTTGCCCATGACACCAAGCTGTGTGGTTCGGTTGATACACTGGAGGGAAGGAATGCCATCCAGAGGGACCTTGACACGCTTGTGAGGTGGGCTGATGCCAACCTCATGAAGTTTAACCATGACAAGTGCAAGGTCCTGCACCTGGGTCAGAGCAATCCCAGGCAGAGCTACAGGTCTGGTAAAGAAGAGATTCAGAGCAGCCCTTCAGAGAAGGACTTGGGGGTGTTGGTTGATGAGAAAATGAACATGAGCAGGCAGTGTGCGCTTGCAGCCCAGAAAGCCAACCATATCCTGGGCTGCATCAAAAGCAGGTTGAAAGAGGTGATCCTGCCCCTCTACTCTGTTCTTGTGACACCTCACCTGGAGTATTGTGTGCAGTTCTGGGGTCCTCAACATAAAAAGGACATGGAACTGTTGGAACAAGTCCAGAGAAGGGACACGAGGATGATCAGGGGACTGGAGTATGAAGATAGGCTGAGAAAGTTGGGGCTGTTCAGCCTGGAGAAGAGAAGGCTGCGTGGAGACCTCATAGCAGCCTTCCAGCATCTGAAGAGGGCTTATAGGGATGTTGGGGAGGGACTCTTCATTAGAGACTGTAGTGATAGGACAAGGGGTAACGGGTTAAAACTTAAACAGGGAAAGTTTAGACTGGATATAAGGAGGAAATTCTTTCCTGTTAGGGTGGTGAGGCACTGGAATAGCTTGCCCAAGGAGGTTGTGAATTCTCTATCCCTGGCAGTGTTCAAGACCAGGCTGAACAAAGCCTTGGGTGATATGGTTTAGTGTGAGGTGTCCCTGCCCATGGCAGGGGGGGTTGGAACTTGATGATCTTAAGGTCCTTTCCAACCCTAACTCTTCTATGATTCTATGATTCTAGGTATCTGTGGAAATAGGTATTATACTCTATAGTGAAACACTGCAGGAATCAGTACATAGAATCATAAAATCAAAGAAGTGTAACATCTCTCAGATACTCATTTTTAATATGATAACTAAACTTATAGTAAATGTATGCCTTCAGTCATAACTACAATTTCCTATTATGCTATAATGACATTCTTGCTAGTAACACAGAAGATACTATTAACATATTGTAATTGTGTCACAGAATATCATTCATGTGCAAATCAGTTTGCTTGAATCCAGTGAAAAAGAAAGGAAACAAACATTAGGATTTGGTAATTGAACATTGAATGCATATGTAAAATCCTTCAAAAAATAATAAAAAAAAAATAATGTCTAATTTTCTTGTAGAAACAGCAGGGACTACTGATTAACTACAAACAGTAGTTTATGCTACCATATACACTACTTTAAACCCTTTCATTTGAGTGCTTTCATTTGAGATGAGGAGGCACTGCTGAATTCAAAAAGAGTGTTTGACAAGGGTCCTGTTTCCCACTCGATATACCTCCCCTGCCTTCCACTCCAACTTCAAGCTTCATGCTAGTTACCTATACCACTTTCAGGTGAGCTCACATTTTATCAAGCGCGGTTGTAGCTGTATACCATCTATGACAACACTTTGTAGAGTCACAACCTACCAATGGCACATGACAGCATGTGGCAGCATGATGTTGTAGACTACTAGGAAGCACTGTAGGCAAATAGGATATATTTGTAATGAAAAATACTTGATCCTGAGGACCTGACATCCACCCCAGACATGGTTAGGGTTTGTCTCTTTATTCAAGTTGGACTAGCTTGTCTTCTTCCCCATTAACAAAACACCAATCTGTGGCTGATGAGCATTAAGTGACTCTGGAGCATTTCTGCTAGTGTTTCGCCCCAGAAGAATCCAGTTCACTAACTTTGATACTTCTCCAGAATGCAAACCAAAGAATAGTGGATGGGGACACTCAGCAGGTGAACTTAAAAAGCACACCCCGATATGCACTAACACACTAACATCAGCTTGACACTTTAATGCTGAACTTCCTCGTACTCAGATGCATTTATTCTTCTGCCAATTAACTTTTGTTTAAGTCCAGAACTCAATATTAAATTCCCTTTCAGTCAGGCATTTTTATAACAATACAAGCTACAAAGGAGCCCTTTTTGAATTGGGTCTTTGGGATGCTGGCATGTGATAAATACTAGATAATAAGCATTTTGCAATTTCACTCTAGAGATCCTTTTTCAAAAGGGAAATCTAAGTTAAATCACTGCCAGTCAATGATGATTCATGACAGCATAAGGATACTTATGCCATTTTTCAATGGAATGTTATGCTAGCATAACTCAGGAAAATGTATCTCTATATTAATAGCCTGCATGTGCAATCAACTCAGTCTCTGTCTACAGAAACACTATTTCCCTGCAGTCAATCATTCTTTCCAATGCAGCACACCTGGTCTGTTCAGATCAGTTATTTAGCTCAGTTACCAAAGGTTTCTAGGTCACCTTGGGCACATCATGCAGTAAAGCCTGTGGAAACAGTGGAACTTGTAGTGTTCTAATATTGTAGCAACAGAGCTCAGCCAGCATAGCATTTGGTATTTTAGTATTTTAAAATCAAAACTTGACTTAGAATATCAGAACAGACATAACAAAAACTCAGTCAGGAAAGGTTTCTTGGCTGGAAGGAATAATTTCAGAAAGGACCAGAAAAAGAAAGAAAGAGGTTAATGTCACAGAACAGCTGGTATTTGAGGCAGCTATTTTGGATGGAAAAATTTTTAGAACTCAGTTTAATAGCCCCTACCTTGTGTCCAGAGATAGCCTACACATGCTCACTGCAGTGCCAGACACCTATCTTAGATTCATGCCATTTTGGAGGCCAGATAGACTATCCTATGGCACCTCCAACAAATACTGATGCATGCACAGCTGAGCTGAGAACCTGTCTTGCGGACAGAGGTCCTGAACATAGGTTAGCTGTCTAAGCTTACACCCTAGTTCTAAGCTTACATAGTTCTCTAAAAGTTAGCTGTCTAAGCTTCCATTATTGAAAACAGGGCCTTGAATCAACTGTCTGAATGAAGAGCAGACACAGGCAATTAATTACTCAGGGAACAATAACGTTAATAGTGAATAACCTAATCTCCATAGTTAACTATTTGGAGTTTAGATATACCATTATTTTATAGTAAAACTCAAATAATGCATTGACACCATCTCTGTGAGGAATGTGAGCCTGTGATCCTGTAATATTATCACCCCATTAGATAATATACAGCAAAAATAACCTAAAACTAGATGAGATTTATTTTAAACTTAGCTCAAAAAGAGCTAGAGACGTATGCTCCATGTTAAGTGAAGGTAAAGTTTAGATTGCATAAGTAATAATCTATAGAACAGCACACTCCTTGAATACGCATCAAACTATATTTGGATTGTAGCAGTTTCTGCACCTAAATTTGTCAGCAATTGATCTGCAGTTCCTCCAAGTCACCACGCTGGGGAGACTGTTAACCACCAGCACGCTCACGACAAAGCGGCTGCTAACAGGCAGAGCAGCTAGAGAAGAATTTAACTGAAGCCTTAGAGAAACTGAAACAAAAATAAACCAGCTTTCTCAGTCATCATCACCACATTCCTATAACATGTCATTAAGCTTCAAATTCTGAAACCAAAAAGCGGCACTCCTCCTCTTGGGATAGTCAAAACCAATAGAAAACAATGGGCCAGAACTGGTTCCAAATACAATTTTCAGACTTGAATTCTGGCTCTGTTTATACTACAAACATTACTAAGTTTCATATGCCAAGAAGAACTGTTAACACTATATTAGCTGGTTTTAAAAGCGAGCTTGTGTGTTGTGGTTCGTTTGTGTTGCAGTAAAAAAATTCCTCATTCTGCCGAAAAGGATTTATTTTTATATAAAGATAACAAACCCAAGCATTTTAGGGCTGAATTACTTGCAACATTAGAGGAGACATGTTAGTTAAGCTCAGACTTGGAATTCATATACACATTTGTACATACATACATAGGTACACACACAGATAGAAAAAAAACATTGTAACTTCACCTTTTGAAAACTCAAAGGCTCTATTGAAGGATAATAAATTTCAACAGTACACATATCCAGCTCAGAAGCATTAAATTCTTCATCCTTCCTAGTTCAGGCAACCACAATGTTAAGTGTTAGAAAAGTAGCCTGTTCCTACCGTAGCACTTCTGTAAAATACTAAATCTGGTTATTACCTACCTCGCTCTAGCATAACTGCAACAATCCCTCAGCTGAATCTCCTTAGGTCCAGCAAAATAAAATGCAGATCCTCCACCTTGAACTTGGAGGCCTGGGCCTGGGAACAGGGCAGAAAACTGCACAAGGTGGCAGGACCAGTGAAGTGCTGCACATTTCCATACGTAAGGAATGCAGCCAACACCTTACAAAGGTAACAGAAGCTGGGATGATAAGGAATTACAGAATGAGTAAAGGCTGCAGCTGCCAAAATGGAATCATTCTGTTCTGCACAGCTCCCCTTCCTGGCCACATGTTGCTTTTTCTTCTTTTGTGCCACTACTTGCTCCGGGAAGCTGATCCAACTACATTTTTTTTCCCCTGAACTTGTTTCCAGTCATATCAGTTTCTGTATCTGGCATATCAAGCTCTGTGCTAACACAAAGTGGGAACAGCTTGCCAGAGGGGGCTGCCCATTTCAAAGGCAGCTGATGCTTGAATCGGCTTCAGTAACACTGTAAAGCTGTCCATTGGGGGTGGGAAGGGGAATGCAGACAGAAGGAAGCAGAGAAACATAATTTTGCTAATGAAAAAGAAACTCACATGTTTTCTATTTAAAACGTCTACAACTGCAGAAAGAGTGCGCTGCTTTAAGCCCTACATTGGATGTGTGACACTTGTCATCTGAGAAGTCCTTTCTTCTTAACATAGACCAATTTCTCTTCAATTATTCAATACCCTCATATTTAAGGGTTGAAGATGTACTATTACACTATCCAAGATTAAGATGATGACTATAGGAAGGATATTGTTTGAAGACAGAAGCTTTCTCAGGTTTGTGAATGAATCTGCTAATACGCGTCACTTTGAAACAGAACTACAGCCCTTTTTTTAAACCTAGATGAGGCAGTTTTGCAGCTGCACACATTCTCAGTTTCCATGTATACATCACAAGCTGTGCACATGATGGGACGTACAATGTGTGCTGAAGACACTTGAGATTTGGCTGACGTTATTCCACAAATCTATTCCTTGGATATATGCCCAAACAATTATCAGTTTGCAATTCTAAGAAAATGCATGATAATAAAATTCCTGACTAAACTGTAGGAATACAGATGAGGAGAAAAACCCAGACTTAGAGAGAGAGAGGAACAAAGAAAAACATCTCATCTTCTCAGAACATTTCTTATGGATAGCTATCTCACTAAGATAAATTATATTTTTCTATTCTTAAAGTAGGTTATAGTCAACTGATACAAGTACATGAAATTTCCTATTACACAATGAATCTGTTGAGATAATAAGTACCAGCTGGATTTATCCCCAACAGCAATAACAGCATGTAGAGAATGATTATAATGTAACAGATTGTGAAACAGAAGAGATGATTTCACTTGTAATAAGGCCCTTATGTTAATACAGTGACAGAAGTGAGAGTTTTGCTTGTACACAATGCTTGTAGCAAGGCCCTCATGTTAATAACTTATTTCAAAGGTAAATTCTCTGAAAACATTGCCTATGAACATTTTTAGGAGCTTGATTACACATGCAAATGTGGGAAAATGTGGGCCCAGTGCTGAATGAAGCGGGGCCCCTGGTGACACAGGACAGGCTGAGGTACCAAATGTCTTCTACACCTCAGCATTTTCTCTTAAGTCCATCCTTCAAAAACCATACGGTCCAAGAAACCAAGGGGGGAAATCTGGAGTAAGGAAGATGTACCTTTGGTAGAAGAGAATCAGATCAGAGAATACTTAGGTAAACTGGACTTACTTAAGTCCATGAGCCCTGACGGGATGCACCCACAAGTGCTGAGGGAGCAGGCACATGTCATCATGAGGCCACTACGGGCAGTCTCTGATTGATCATGGCAACTGGGAGAAATGCTGGAAGACTGAAGGAAAGCAAATACCCCTCCTGTCTTCAAGAAGGAGGACCCAGAGAGCTATAGGCCGGCCAGCCTTACCTCAGTCCCTTGGAAAGAGATAGAGTAGCTAATCCTGGAAAGTGAACAGAAGCATACCCTCAGAAAGTTTGCTCATGTCACAGAACTGTGAGGAGTGGGTGATACGTCAGTGGGTAATGATGCCATTCGGAAGGACCTTGACAGGCTGGAGAAATGGGGTGACAGGAGCTTCATGAAATTTATTAAAGGTAAGTGTGAAGTCCTGCACTTGGGCACGAACAACCACATGCACCAATATATGCTAAGGGCTACACAGGTGGGAAGCAGCTTTGCAGAAAAGAGCCTGGAGGACACCAAGTAGACCATGAGCAAGCAGTGTGTACTTGCAGTAGAGAAGGATAATAGATTCCTGGGATGCATTAAAGGTGTTGTGATTTTGCCCTCTGCTCAGCATTGGTGAGGCCACACATGGAGCGTTGTGTCTACTTCTAGGCTTCCCAGCACAAGAGAGGCATGGACATACTGGAGAAAGTCCAGTGAAGGGTCACTAAGATGATTAAGGGAATGGAGCATCTTTCCGGTGAAGAAGGGATGAGAGAGCTTGGCCAGGTGTTTATGATTCTGCGATTCAACCTGGAGAAGAGAAGGGTTAGGGTGGATGTTATTCATGTGTACATGCCTGGAGGGAGGGTGCAAAGATGAGATGAGAGAGCCAGGCTCTTTCTGGTGTTGCCCAGTCACAGGACCAGAGGCAATGGGCACACATAGAAACACAGGAGGCTCCATCTGAGCACAGAGAAATGTTTTTTTACTGTGAGCATGACTAAGCACTGGCAGAGGTTGCCCTCCTTGTAGATATTCAGAAGCTGGCTGGACACAGTCCTGGGCACCTGGCTGTAGGTGACCCTGCTTGAGCAGGGAGTTCTACCAGAGGACCTCCAGAGGTCCCTTCCAACCTCAGCCATTTTGTGATTCTGTGAAAACTTAGACAAGCTGTGCCTTGAAAATGCTCCATACTTTTAGCAGGCAAGAACATGCACACAGGCAAAGCTAAACATCATGCACAAGGAGTTGGCGAGCAGAGCTGCAGAAACCCACTCCAAATGTCAAGCAGCTTAGAGACAGATCTGTGTTCAGCAATGAGCATAAATGCAAACAGTTTAAATTATTTGTCAAGGAAAGTTTTTGTTTAAATCCCTGAGCTGAATTTATTTCATCTCTAAGCTTTCCAAAAGCCATTCTGCTGAGCAGCATTTACACTCGATTTTGAGACCTTCAGAGCTATTTTAGGTTTTTGACAGATTTTGAAGTTGCCTGTTTAACCATAGCTGTTGGTCCCTTCTGGAGCAAAGTGGGTTTTGTCTTGCTATGGGCAGTACTTAACAGGTCACTGTTCCTGTGTGTCTCCTACTATTGAAAAGTATTTGCAAATTGAATTTTTACTTCTAAAGTCAATGTCCAAGTAGTCAAGTGGAACACCAGCTTGGGAGCAAAACTGGTGGGAACATTGGCCTGTTTGCCAAAAGTCTGCATACCAGCTTTCATCCAAGATAGCCTGCTGACCACCAAGAAACTGCCAAGAATTCAGTGACACACTTGTTGCTGACAGATCAAGTTCAAAACAGCCACCTGCTGTCAGCTTGCATGATTTGTTTTCCTAAACAAGGCTTGCAGCATTTGGTGCGTGTTTTTTCCAAAAAGCTTCAGTACTCAGATTTTGCTTCCCTGTTCTGGATACTGTAATAAAGCAGCTTGAAACAGGCTTCTTAACAACATGTTTTGCAGAAGGCAACCTCTCCCCCAAGCATTTAGTTAGTACTGAAAAAAATCCATACATTTTGATAATCCTAAGAATGTGTTTAAGATACTACTCTACAGTCCTCAATAACCGGGATTTTCTGTGCTCCACTGTACTCACATACAGCTTCTGCCTCTTTGAAATGTGACAGCATCCCTCAGACGTGTAATTAGTGTTCTTCTGAGCTGTCCCGTTTTTAGGTTGTCTTTTGATACTAGCGCAGCAACAGCACTTGACATACTTCCCTGCCATGACCAAAAAAGGTCAAACTGCATATGGCTTGCAATGGCACACTAATGAATCCATAATGGAAAGTCAATATAACTGGTATATGTTTAGAGAGACAAGTACCTTGTTCTAGAAAAAAGACCTCAATTGTAGAGATTACTTATAAGCTAGTGGCTATGTTTTCCTGTGGTAGGAGTGCATTGTTGATACAGTAAGGTTTGGACACACAGACACATGTTCCTTTAAACCCTTATAAAGAGCAATTTCACTAACTCATCTCAGGTCATGGGCTCTATCTTCAGAGTAACAATCTCCAAACGTAAACAGGATACATATGCTTTCAAAACCTGGGCTTGAAGGCACACTACTCCAAATAGAATAATAAAGATGCTAACATTGGATTAATTATTTATAACAGCTTAAGTAGGAATACACAGTTTAGAGCATCTCATTCCTAACTCTTCCATTCTCCTTGGACATGCAAACCACTGCCAAGAGCTCAGAGCTGGCTCATGATCACCACTTTAAGGAAAAAACAACCCAACAGGAACAAAGAAAAAAGATACCAAAACATCCACTGCAATTCTAGCATCTCTGAAATTTACACTACAGTAAATGGTACCTCTTTAACACACAAGCGCTCACCATGTGTGGATAACATACCATTTTCAAAACTCCAGGTGGATCCTAGCCTTTTTTCCTACCTTAGGAGAAGATTCAAATTTCTTTAAGAAAATATTAATTTAAAATCGTAGAATTTTGCAGCAGCACCTTTAGGGGAAAAAGAAACAAAAACAAAAACAAAAAATGCTAAGAAGTCATCTCAGGATTCTTAGGCAGACGCATGAGACACTTAACAAAAGTAGAGAAACTAAAATAAAGCTTTTCAGTTATCCCCAGAAGTGCAGTACCGCACAGTCAGCACAGGAGGTCTCTAGCACACCCAGAAACTAATCGTTCCTCCTTGCCTTGTACATCGTTCGCTAAGAATAGCATTTCTGAGGTTAGCTTTGAAGTCTCGGGCCTCTCCCCAAAACAGCTAGGCCCACATAAGCAAGATATCTCGACCTGCTGGCCACACTTCTTTTGATGCAGCCCAGGATGCGGTTGGCCTTCTTGACTGTGAGCGCGCATTGCTAGCTCATGCCCAGCTTTTCATTCATCAGTACCCCCAAGTCTTTCTCTGCAGGGCAGCTCTCAACACTGTAATACCCTTGCCTTTATTG